CGTGGCAGGGGAAGCGGGGGTGGAGGGGTCGAGCCTTGCAGGGCGCGAGGGCCACTGGGTCTGAGCTCGTGGACAGGGTAAGGGTAACAGGATTGACACGAATTACACGGACTCGACGAGGGTGGAAACGATCCAACCCAATGAAAACTGAAAGCAAATCAGTAGTGTTCAGTCCAATTGGTTTCTCGAGGCACGGCCACAGCCTAATCGTGGGGCCTCTCGGACTCACGTGGAGGTGGACAGGTTACGCACCGGTCGACCCTGACAAACGACCGTCTCTCAACATCGGAGCTACTGGCGCCCCTTCTGAAGATATATCCCCACAGCGGAAAATGAGGTTTTGGCCCTGTACTTCATCAGGGGCCTCCGAAAGTACCAAGACAGGACAAAACTGCCCCAAGAGGCTCCAAGGACGGTCCAAGAGGGCCCCCAATCGCCAAACTATCGCTCCAAAACGCCTGCAAGCCCTCCAGACTGCCGAGGAGGCCACGAAGACGTCAAAGAAAACCTCCAAGAGCACTCACTCCCGCCTGCGAGGCAAAATTCATCGATGTTTCGTGTTTTTGCTCAGGAATGGGGAGTTCTCGCATGGCTCCCCGCCGCTCCAAGACGGCCCAAGAGGCCCCCAAGATCGCTCCAAGACAGCCCAAGAGGCCACCAAGAGGGCCCCCACACAGCCCAAGAGGACCCCAAGACACCCCACAACGCGTCCAAGACGGCCCAACAGGACCCCAAGACGGCTCCGAGAGCGTGCCCAGACGGGAGAGACCCCGACGGACATTTCGAGCCCTCGGCCCCGAGAGGACCCCCCAGGAGGCCCCAAGACGTTCCCAAGAGGCCCCAAGAGGCCCACAAGAGGTCCCCAGGAAACCCCAGAGGCCCCAAGAGGCCCCTCAAGAGGCTCCCAAAAGGGCCCAGAACTCCTGCCCAGAGGCCCCCGAAAGCCTTCCGAAGAAACCCCGAGAAGCATCCATCTGGCCCACGCCAGCGCCGTCGTCGTCGTCGTCGCCGCCGCCGTTGTCGTTCTCGTCCCTTGTCAGGGTCGGCGACACCGGCCGCAAGCTTCGCAATCCCCACAACGGAAGATAAGGTTTTGGCCCTGCGCGTCACTCTAAGGATGTGGCCTACGGTCTACTGGACATGAATCCCAACGTTTCGCGGCACAACGGTGGGTTGATTGTCCCGCTACCCAATGCTGATCTGACGGCCACCTCATCCCTGAAGATGAGTTGAGATGCCTTGCAAACGTATGATGCGCTTGGCATCCCTTTTCAATCCCACCCCCTCCTTCTCGTCCTTCACTCCTCCTCCCACGCATGACCAGTTCATCCCTCATTATCCCCTTCCTCCTCGAGAGCCCCCCTCCTCCTCCTCCTCCGCCTCCTCCCCCTCCTCCCCTTCCTCCTCTTCTTGTTATTATTCTTAGTCTTCCTAGCATTATGATTATATATACAGCATTACCGTCATCAGTATGATTCGTATTAGTATTAGAGTATGTTCCGCATTGCTATGTTACTATGATGGTTATTATAACGATTCTAAATATTATTGGTATTAGTGTCATTAGTCTTAATGCTAATAATACACATAATGCTGATGATAACGAATACAAATGCAATAATAATAATGATAATAAATAATACGAATAATATCAATGATACTAATAATAATAATAAATATAATAATAATACTAATAATAATAATGATGATAATATTGATCTTATAATGTGTCGCATTCTTAGTTCTTCTCTTCTTATGACTATTCGTGTGTTTCTTCTTCCTCCTCCTCCTCCTCTTCCTCCTCCTCCTCCTCCGTAGCCATTCTTGCTCAAGCCATTGGGCTGAGCTGGCCGCGGCGGGCCGTCCATGGGCGGTGCGCCTCGCGTGAGGCGAGTGATGGAGTCGGCGCTTGCGCATGCGCTGGCGGGCTGCCCTGCGGCGGCGGCCGCGTGCGGGACCACGGCGGCGGCGATTGGCATGGGCTTCTCGGGCGAGCGGGCTCGCGACGCGCGTGGCCGCGGCCGTTCCGCGGGGCAGCGCAGGCCTCGGCGGCGTTGGCGGCGACTGAGGGTGTGTGCAAGTCCTGCGCGCTGGATGAGGTAGGGGCCTACACGCGAACCCTACCCCTACCCCCCACGATTTCCGAGGGGGAGGGTTCACATCTGGCCCCCTATGAGGTCCAGGCGGTGGTCAACATGGTGAGCGACATGACGGGAGTCGCGCGCAGCGTCGAGGACGCCAAGGAGGTGCTGTGCGGATTGGGGGCCCCAGGCCAAGCCGTGGCGGGCAGGCCGGGGCGGGCCTCCAAGCACCGGAATGCGGCGGCCCACCCTACGCGGGCCTCGCCGCGGCGGCGGGCCAGGTGCTCGCCGACGCCGACATGCAGGTCGAGAGGACGGCGGAGCAGGCCAACGTGTAGGAGCAGGCCGTGGCGACGACCCCCAAGGCCAGGGAGAAGCTGCAGCAGGCCGAGCAGATGGCCAGGAAGACTGAGGAGATGTTGAAGCGAGCCGAGGAGGCGATGCAGCAGGCCGAGCGCAAGGTGCAGCTCGCCGAAGAGAAGGCCATAAAGGAGTCGAAGAATACCAATGAGTTGACGAAGCAGGCCGAGGAGAGGTCGGAGGCGGTGCACTGCCTCGTCAGCTACCGCTCCACAGTGCACAACACCCTCCTGCAGGCGGAGTTGAAGGACAACTTTGACGACGGCGACCAGAAGAAGATCGAGAAGGCGATCGATAGCACCCTTGACTGTGGGAAAGGCCATGTCCGAAAGGACGGTTGCGCTCGAGGGCAAGCAGAAGAAGCTGGACGGAATCGTCAACCCCCTCTTGATGAAGCTCGCCTGCAACCTGGAGCAGGATATTGCGAATATCACTGAGGAGGGCAAGTGGCGCGACGACGGGGAGGCCCTTCAGACACTCGCGGCTGCGCAGATCGCCCTGAAGAAGCTGGAGGAGGCCATGCAGGCGGTTAGCCATGAGCCTCGCCACGCGTGGACGTGCAGTTCGGAGTGGAGTCATGGAGACGGGCCCCATGAGGGTCGGCGGATTGGTGGAGGGCCCCTCGTGGGTCGGTGGATCGTCTCTGGCGGTAGGGGCTCCCAGGTGGCGTGAGTGGCTTGCGCGCCACCCTGGGAAGCACAGGGCTGAGGCTTGGACACTTGTCCCTTCTCATAGCATTCCATAGCATTCCTCCTCCTCCTCCTCCTCCTCCTCCTCCTCCTCCTCCTCCTCCTCCTCCTCCTCCTCCTCCTCCTCCTCCTCCTCCTCCTCCTCCTCCTCCTCCTCCTCCTCCCCCCCCTCCTCCTCCTCCTCCTCCCTCCTCCTCCTCCTCCTCCTCCTCCTCCTCCTCCTCCTCCTCCTCCTCCTCTGGTTCTCCTTATATACATTTTCCCCTGTCGCACCCCGAGGCCAGTTTTTAGGGCGGGTCGGGCGTTTCGCCTGAGCCTTTATCACCATTTATGACCTTGAAACTTAAACATTGGTAACAGCTTCACAGATGGATGGCGGGTGGTGTTCGAAATGTGGTTCTCGCCTTAGCGCCGCGCACACAAACATTTGCAACAGCTTCTTGGATTGAGAGCGGATGGTTTTCAAAAGGCGTCTCTCGCCTGAGCGCCGCGCACATTCGGTTTTCACAGTCGCAAGTGTTTCACGGATTGAAGGCGGCTCATTCGTTTTAAACAGTTGTAAAAATTTCACGGATTGAAGGCGGTACCTTTTCAAAATGTGCCTCTCGCTTCAACGACGCGCACATTCGTTTGTAAGAATTGCCAGATCTTCACGGAATCCCATAATCAGCATACCAGGGACGGCGTGTTGGAAACACTCAGGCTTATGAGGGCGCAACAGTTACGTTGTTTCGCGGAGTTGAAGTCCCTGGAATGGCGTTTTGGGACGATTCAGGATCGTCAAGACGCAACAGTCAGGTTTCCCAAGGCGTTGGAATCCCGCGAAAATGATTTTGGCACGCTTCAAGGTCTTCAGACGGTTGTCTTCCAACGAGGCAGCTCCCTCAGTGGAATTGAACCGTTGCAGGGGCCACTGAAGAGGGAGCTTGAACGGAAGGTTTATCCCAATATCGTTTATGACCCTTGGGTTTACACTGGTCCTCCTCCTCCTCCTCCTCCTCGTCCTCCTCGTCCTCATCCTCCTCGTCATCCTCCAACTCTTGAAATATTTACGCAGCGGCACCGGCCGCCCCCACTCCACCGCGGAGCCGTCCCTCGCGCGAGCGCGGGGCCCATGCCGCGGCGGCACCGCCGCGCGCCGGCGACGGAAGGTCCCGAAGAGGGGGGGAGGGCAGGGAGGCCCTGGAAGGGGGATGGAAGGAGCGGCGGGGACTCAGCCGTAGCAAATGTACATGCCGTACACGTAGTTCCTTGGCGGTGACATTGCCCACGGAATACCTTATCGGCAGTGCTGTTGAAGTGATACGTACACGTAATACCCTTGTCCGTCGAACGGGCTTTCGTAGCTGAACATGTTGAGGAAGAACTGGGTAACCCCTGGCTGGCCTTCACAGGCTGCAAAATCGGATAAGCACTCGGACTCGTAGTCACTGTCTCACCAGATCGTGATACTGCTAGGCTCGAGCCTTCTCCTGGCACATGACGGCGAGCAGCTTCTTGGGGTACTTGTCGATGGGCTCGACGTTGGTCATCTTAACGCTGATGGCCATCGATACCGATCTGAATGCCCAACGCTCCGTGATGGCATCCCACGCGCCCCGCGTACCCTCGAGGCCCTTGTGGCGCTCCTCCTCATTCTCCTCCTCCACCTCCTCCTCCTGCTCCTTCTCCACCTCTTCTTCCTCCTCCTCCTCCTCCTCCTCCTCCTCCTCCTCCTCCTCCTCCTCCTCAACCCGCTCCTCCTCCCCCTCCACCTCCTCCCCCGTCCACTCCCTCCTCTTCACCCGCACCCCCACCCTCACCCTTCACCCTCACCCAGACCCTCTTCCTCCTCTGATCTCGACCCGCAGGGGGGGGAGAGAGAGCCCGCCTCTCGGCCAGCACCTCCTCGTCCGCGGAGGACGTGGACATGGGCGGTGGCAGCCGAGAGAACTTGCACGACCTGGCCGCCACCTGCTTGGCCTCGGCCAGCGGCAACCGGCGGCCCGCCCACCCTGCGAGGCGGGGACTTTTTCCATGCCGACTGCCTGGGTAAGCGACGTCCTGGACCCCAGCGGGCGGTGTACACACGGCCATATGGTCGGTTCCAGACGCCCTACACCCAAAAGAGTCGCCATCTCTTCGGGGTGCGATGCTTACTTCCGTCCGCGTCCGCAGGCCTTCCGCCAGCCTTCCGCTGGCTTGGGCTGGCGGAAGCGACCCCGTTTTACTTCCGCCAGCACTCCACCGAGAAAGAGATGGCAACTCCCTCGGCCCTCAAAGGCGAGGCCCTCTCCAGAGCGCATCACGTGTTAACACCAAGGGGCCCGCCCGTGCCCGTGGCCACCGCCCGCTGAGGTCACCGAAGCTCGATCCCCCGGGCAAAAACCACGGATAATTCCCCGCCCCGGTCGCCCGCCTGTCCGTCTACGCTGTTCGCTCGGCAGTGCACCCCGGGGGAGGAGGCAGAAAGGGGGCCGGCCTCCTCAGCGGGCGCGGGGATGCTCAGAGGCCTCTTCGACGCCACGGGCGGCTTCTTGGAAGGCGGCACCTGTGCCGCTGGGTGCCCTCGTGGCGTCCCAGAACGACTGGGTTGGCAGCCCGACCGTCGCCACAGCTCGACGGGGCTGTGGGAGAGACTCTTGCGCTGTAGCACCACCCCTACGAGGCCCGATGGGGCTACTCGAAGGGACGGCAGCGCAGGTGTGACGCCTGGGGCGGCTCTGTGCCGCCGTTCATCTTGCGAAGTCCGACTGCATGTGAAACCATGCGGGCACCTTGGGCACCTCCCTTCGGGCTGTGTCGCCCAGGTGTCCTGCCCGGGCACAAAAACAAACGGCTCCTAGAAGGCGCGAGGGCCTCTGAGGAGCCCCGCCGCCTTCCGAGCAGACCGGCCCCTCTGCCTCCCCCCCCGGGCGCGCCGCCCAGGCGAATGGGCCCAGAACGGCAGCAGACATGGCTGCCGGCGAATAGGACACCGAAGAGCTCCTTCGCGAGAGGCGCGGAAAACGGTTTTTTTGGTATCAGGGGCATGGGCTGCGGCAGCCGGAAAAGACTTGCCCGTCACTCGGGCGCCCACTCCCCGCGCGCCTGTGTGTCGGTGTCGCGCGTGCTCCGAGATATATGCTCCTCGGTGCTCCGAGAGATATATGTGCTCCTCGGTGGTCCTCGCCGAGGACGGGTGCACACGTCCGAGCGCTGCCGAGAAGGACTTGCACGACACGGCTGCCACCTGTTTGGCCCTGGCGGGCGGCAGCGGGCGGTCCGCCCGCGACCCGGCCGCCCTCGCTCTTCGCGCGGCGGCGCGCCCGGGCGGGGAAGGCAGAGGCCGAGCTTCCACAGCCTCCCCAACGCCCGCCTCTCCGCCACCGCCTCCTCCTCCTGGTCCTTGTTGTCCTCCCCCATGTGCCTCCTGCTGCAGCGAGGGAGGGTAGGGAGGGAGGGAGGGAGGGAGGGAGGGAAGGAGGGAGGGAAGGACAAGCTAGGTGCGCTCGCGTCATATCTGACGTCCTACCCCTCCCTCCCATCCCTTACCATGGCGCTGATTTTCTCTATCCGCGGACGCGTGTCGTAGCGGACCTGTGGCTCCGCGCGCGCGTGCGTAGTGGGTGGTGGTGCACGTGCGTGCGTGCGTGCGTGTGTGCGTGGTGGTGTGGTGGTGGTGGTGGTGGTGGTGGTGGTGGTGGTGGTGGTGGTGGTGGTGGTGGTGGTGGTGGTGGTGGCTGGTGGTGGTGCTGGTGCTGGTGCTGGTGCTGTGGTGGTTGGTGGTGGTGGTGGTGGTGGTGGTGGTGGTGGTGGTGGTGGTGGTGGTGGTGGTGGTGGTGGTGGTGTGGTGGTGCGCGGTGGTGGCGGGCGGATGGGCGCGCGAGAAAGAGGCCCGCGCTGGGGCGAGAACGCCATCCTGAACGACGGAGGCCAAACACCGATCCGAAAATGAGGCCCACGCTGCAGCGGGAGCACGATTCGGAACGATTCGGGAGCAGAAATGAGGCCGGCGCCTCAGCGAGAGCATCGTTAAAAAAAAAACGCATGCGAAAACCCGTTTCCCGGGAATCCTGTGTAAAAATCAATACGCGGGGGGCGTTCGGCCCGAAAATGACGCCGGCGCCTCAGCGAGAGTCGCTTCCCGGGATTTCCCGGGAATCCTGTGTGTTAAAAAACAATACGCGGAGAATGCGCGGCCATCACCCGGACGCCATCAGGGGAAGAGGGAGATTATTTTCATATTGAGTAATTGTAGAGGAGGAGGAGGAGGAGGAGGAGGAGGAGGAGCGCACGAAACATGGAGCGCGAGCCTGTCTCGACGCCCCGGTCGCAGCCGCGGATCTCGGGCTACGTAGGAGAAGCAGTCGTGGGATGAGGTGAATGCGGCTGGGGAACTTGGAGTCGAAGGAGAAGGAAGAGGAGGAGACAAGTCCTCTCGCCATTGCGAGCTTCTTCATGCTGCGATGTCCCGTCACACATCCTGCGCCGCCAAGTCTGCACCGAGGTGAGAAGAATTCGAGCATGACCCCGTTCGCGCCTTCCGTTTTTATCTACCAGTGGGAAGATACGACGGTTGACGCATCCTTCGCTGGCGCAACAAAACGGAGCCGGGTCCCGCCTGCTCCTGTGATTGGCAATGATCTGGAAAGGGCCAGTGATCCGCAGGATGGGGACGGAAAAAATTTGCCTCTTCTCTGACAAGGAGCGCCCATCGGGCCGAAGGGGCAGCGGATGAGGAAAGGAGGTAGGTGAAAGAGAGGTGCACACGCAGCTGTCCCCCCCCTTCGGGGATGGACAGACCCCCCTTTAATAAAACGTGGTTTAGTGAAAACGACCTGTGGCCCAAACCTGGCGGGCGCAAGCCTGGAAAATAACGGCCACGGCGCCCTCTCGAGAACCGAAAACGGACAACTCACTAATCGACGTGTCACTGTCGGGGGTTCTGTCCACCCCCGACCCCTGTCTCTTCCCCAGCCCCCCACCCCTCCGCGACACACGGCGCTGAGGGCCCCGCCCTTCGCTTCGCGAGGGGAGACAGCGAAAGGTCCATCTCCCCGGAGAACCCGGGGACGAGCGCCTGCCCCGCGCCCGACAAAGGGTGGGGGGAAAGAGAAGGAGGGGAGGGGAAGAAGGGAGGGACGAGGGGGGGGGAAGCAGGGGGGAGAACGAGGGCGGGAGGGGAACGGGAAGGGAGAGCGAGGGGAGGGGAAGGAGGGAGGGGAGGGGAGCCAGACGACTAATTAGTAGGCTTCGCCCCGGCTGCTGAAGGCGCGCGAGGCGGAGTGCCCGTGCTGCGCCGCGACGAGAAGGCTCCCTGCGACGCCCTGCCCGCCCAGCGCCAGGCCGGGCCCTCCGCAGGGCAGCCGCACACCGGCCGCTGCACGGCGCGCGGGTCGGGCCGAACGAAAGGGGGGGGGATAAGGAAAAAGGGGGTTCACGCAATCTCGTGCACACAGCCGGCTCCGGCCCCGCCGCGGGGCCCCTTCTCGATGCACGGGCGCCTCCCGACGCCGGGAGGCGCGGGGAAAATCGGCTGCGTGAGCCGATCCTCTGCCCTGCCCTTTGCTATCCCCCCCTCTCGTTCCCCCCGGCGAAAGGGTCCTTACTACATAGATCCTGCCTCAAGAATAAAGAACACGAATGGAAAATTATCATGCCTACCAGTGCGACATCGCACTGCATTATTTCGACCGACCGACCGACCGTACCTGGGATATGTGTTGGGCTCCGTGTGCTGGGATGCGGGACTGCATCGGTGTGCTGGGCCAGACTGCGTGCTGGGATGTGTCGGTGTACTGCCTCGGTGGACTCGGTGCTGGGATACTGCCTGGGTGTTCTCGGTGCCGGGAAATGTCCGTGTACTGCCTCGGTGTGCTGGGATCGGTGTGCTGAGATGTGTGGACGTACTGGCCGTGCCCCCGCTTCCTCCCGTGCCGCCCCTCTGCTTATTCCGACCGACCGACCATGCCCTTCCCCCATTGCCCGATTGTGGCCCCCCGTGCACCCCCTTCCCCCAATGCCCTCCTTTTGCCAGATCCGACCGACCCACCGTGCCCCCCCTCCCTGCCGACAGTGCCCCCCGCGCGCCCCCTCGTCCCCCGTGCCCCTCCTCTGGTTTTTCCGACCGGCCGACCGTGCCCCCCCCCCCCCCCCCCCCCCCCTCCCACCGCCCAACAATGTCTCCCCGTCCACCCCCCCCTCTTCCCCCCGTGCCCCCCCCCCCCCCCCTCCCTTCTGGTTATTCCGACCGACCGACCGTCCCACCCCTGCCCAAGCGTGGCCCCCCGTGCCCCCCTCCCCTTTCCCCCATGTGGCCCTCCTCTGCTTATTCCGACCGACCGACCGTGCCTTCCTCCCACCCCAGTGCCCGTCCGTGCCCCCCCCAGTGTCTGGCGCCCTCGGTGACACGAGACGCTGCGTATGGATGGTGCTGCTGCTTGTCTTGAGGGGGCGGCGCAGCGAAACACTGTGTAGCGTGTTTTGTTGGACGTTCCAGTGCTCATCGCGGTCTCCACCCAACGCACTCCCCTGAGCCTCCAGCACAAATAAAACAAACATGCACAGTGCGTGGCTCCCTCGGTGCCACGAAACGCTGTGCGTGCTTGCTTGGTGTTGGTTGCGTTGGTCTGGAAAGATAGGAGGCACTGTGTATGCTTGGGTTGTTGCTGGTACTGGCGGCTCCAATGCTCACCGCGGTCTCCCCCTCGGCCCCTTCCCTGAGCCTCCATCGCCCCATACATACATACACACACATACACATTCATACATACATACGCACAGACACACGTACATACATACATACATACATACATACATACATACATGCATACATACATACATGCATGCATGCATACAGACAGACAGACAGACAGGCGGACAGACAGACAGACAGACATAGATACATACGTACATACATGCATAAATACTTAGATACATACACACATGCATACATACATATGTGTGTATTCATATAGATACATACACATACATCCATATATACAGACTTACTTAAATACATACATGCATACGAAAGAGCGCGTTTTGTACTCGCTTGGAGGGGGGAGCGTTTGGAACCTGACCCCACCCCCCTGCATGGAGAGGGGGGGGGTTCGAACACCCCCCCTGCCGTGACAAAGGGGGCGGGGGGGCTTCGAACCCTCCTCCCCCCCCCTACCTCTCCTCTCTCCCTCTCCTCGGCTGGCGGCGGCGGGGGGGACGACGATTTCCTTTTCTGGGCCGGCACTGGCGCCTGCGGCGGCGGGCGGCGGCGGCGGGGACCGTCGACGAGGACGACGGTGGTGGTGGTGGTGGTGGGTTGTGGGGGTGGTGGTGGTGGTGGTGGTGGTGGTGGCGGTGGTGGTGGTGGTGGTGGGTGGGTGGTGGTGGGGTGGCTGGTGGTGGTGGTGGTGGTGGTGGTGGTGGTGGTGGTGGTGGTGGTGGTGGTGGGTGGTGGTGTGGTGGTGGTGGTGGTGGTGGTGGTTGTGGTGGTGGTGGTGGTGGTGGTGGTGTGTGGTGGTGGTGGTGTGTGTGGTGGTGTGGTGGTGGGTTGTGGTGGTGTTGGTTTTGTGGTGGTGTGGTGGTGGTGGTGGTGGTGGTGGTGGGTGTGGTGGTGGCGGTGGTTTGTGGAGGTGGTGCTGGTGGTGGTGGTGGTGGTGGTGGTGGCGGTGGTGGTGGTGGTGTGGTGGTTTGTGGTGGATGGTGGGGTTGTGCTGCTGGTAGTGGTGGTGGTTGTGGCGGTGGTGGTGGTGGCGCGGTAGATTGTGGTGGTGGTGGTGGTAGTGGTTGCGGTGGTGGGTTTTTGTGGTGGTGGTGATGGTGAGTTGTGGTGGTGGTGGTTGTGGTGGTAGTGGTAGTGGTGGCTGTGGTGGTGATGGTGGTGGTGGTTGTGTAGTGGGTTGGTGGTGGTGGTGGGTTGAGGCGGTGGTGGTGGTGGTAGTGGTGGTGGTGGTGGTTATCGTCGCTGCGTCCTCCCGGCGCCAGCGCCGGCGCTGCTTGCCGCCGCCAGCGCCAGCGCCGCGCCGGGGGGGGGGGTTTGAAACCCCCCCTCCGTCGGCGCCAGGTGGGGGGGTGAACCCCCCCCCCCCTCGGGCTGCCTCTGGTCATCGTCGCTACGTCCCCGCCGTCGGTGCTGCTCGGCCGCCGGCCGGCGCCGGCGCCGGGGGAGAGGGAGGGGGTGGAAACCCGGTAGGGGGGGATTCGGGGGTTCGGTAGGGGGGGGGGGCAGGGGAGAGTCCCCCTGGTTTTGATCGACGGCGCCGAGTGTTGGGGGGGGGGCCCACCCCCTGGTTCGAAACGCGCCGCCGAATGTTCCCAAGGCAAGCGCCCGTGAAACGCGTTCTCTCATACATGTATACATCAATATACATATATATATATATATACATATATATACATATATCTATATATATATGCATGCATTCATGCATACCTACCTACCTACCTACCTACATACATGCATACATACATTCATACATGCATACATACATACATGCATGCATAATACATGCATGCATGCATGCATGCATGCATGCATACATACATACATACATACATACATACATTGCGACCGACCTATATACCTACCTACCTACCTACCTACCTACATACATACATGCATGCATGCATGCATGCATGCATGCATACATACATACACATATACCTACCTACCTACCTACCTACCTACCTACCTACCTACCTACCTACCTACATACACAGATAGATACATACATACATACATACATACATACATACATACATACATACATACATACATACATACATGCATGCATGCATGCATTGCATGCAAACATACATACATACATACATACATACATACATACATACATACATACATACATACACACACACATACATACATACATACATACATACATACATACATACATACATACATACATACATACATACACACATACATACATACATACATACATGCGTACATGCATGCATACATACATACGTACATACATACATACATACATACATACAGACATATGTATATATACACACATGCATACATACATACATACATACATACATAGATACATACATTCATACATGCATGCATGCATGCATGCATGCATACATACATACATACATACATACATACATTGCGTCGCTGTTTCCCAAACCAAAAGAACCCAACAAAAAAAACAGACATACAGACGTGTCGTGGCACCGAGGTCGCTAGGCACTGTGCACCGTTGGTGTTTCTTGTTCTGGAAATTCAAAGAAGGGTGCTGGGAGGAGGTCGCCGAGGACATTGGAGCCTCCAGACCCAAATTAACCTGACGAAGGACCCAACCATACGCAGCTGCGATTGCCGCGAGGGAGATGAGACGAAGGAGGGGGCGCACAAACTCCGAGTAGCGCACGCGGTATAGCCTTCTACCACGAAACGTGTGAAGGGTGTGCCGTCATGAGTCGGGGGGGCGCCTGCGAACGTTGCCATTGGGGCATTCCGTGGAGCTCCCCATGGGGCCACGAAACGTGTGAGGGGTGTGCCAGAATGGGGCGGCGGTGCCGTGCGAACTGTCACACTGGGGCCTTCGGTGGAGCTCCCTATGGGGCCACGAAACGTGTGATGGGTGTGCCGAAATCGGGCGGCGGTGCCACGGGACCACAAAACGTGTGAGGGGTGTGCCGAAATCGGGCGGCAGTGCCATGCGAACTTGCCCACAGGGGCCTTCGGCTGAGCTCCCTGTGGGGCCACGAAACTTGCGAGGGGTGTGCCAGAATGGGGCGGCGGTGCCATGCGAACTTTCCGATGGGGCCTTCGGTGGAGCTCCCTATGGGGCCACGAAGCGTGTGAGGGGTGTGCCGAAATGGGGCGGCGGTGCCATGCGAACTTTCACTGGGGCCGTCGGTGATGCTCCCTGTGGGGCCACGAAGCGTGTGAGGAGTGTTTCGAAATCGGGCGGCGGTGCCATGCGAACTTTCCCACTGAGGCTTTAGGTGGGGCTCCTTGTGGGGCCACGAAACGTGTGAGCGTAGTGCCAAAATGGGGCGGCGGTTGCATGCGAACTTTCCCAATGGGGCCTTAGGTGGAGCTGCCGG